TCTTGTTTCTTTTGCAATGTTTTTAAATGCTGTAAAGCACTTTGCATTGCTCTAGTGTATGAAAAGTGCTATACTAAAAGGTTGATTTGATTTGATTTGATTCGAAAGTCTTTGCTGCACCAGAGCATTCATTCATTCATTCTAAGTAGTTCACTACTTTTATTTATATGCACATCGGGAAAAAATACCAAAGTCTGGAGTCCTCAGTGGTACGTACAGCCATGCTGCTGCCCCACGCTGCATTCTGATCAATTTATTTATTTGTTATTATTGGGCTAGGCAGTTAGTTTTTACAAATAAAGCACTATAGATTGACTATTTGTTTAGTTAGTTAGTTTTTCTCTTATTTTATCATTGGAATATTTTTTTTATTTTTCTTAATAGCATTCACAGACATTTCAAGGCCCCCCTGGCAGCTCTCTGTGGCCCCCTCGTGGGCCGTGGACCCCCTGTTGAGAACCACTGTTCTAATATTTTTATGTAATGCATTCATTAAGTTGTTTTGGTAAATACAGAAAATTGTTCATGACATTATTTATGAAAGCATCCTCATTTTAAGTTTTAGGGCCCTTTGCATTTGTACGCTATCCTAGTTTTGCTTTGCTTTCATTCCCACTTGATCTTTGTAGTAAATTCTTGTAAATTCAAAGCATCTCTACTTGCTGTGTGTTAGCTGAACACAAGTGTACAGTGATTTCACCGGACCTGACCTGTTTTGGTTCATTTCAAATAGCCGTTAGTCAGGGGTGTGCATCTCTACCTTAAAAAATGATCCAATATGAATCTAGATACATGGGTTACGATATGATTCACTAACGATACATTTTAATACATTACAATGCGATTGGATTCGATGCAGTTGGATGCAGCTTGAATTTTTTTGTGTGGTGAAAAAAATTAAAGAGACATGTGTCAGGTCAGAACAATGTCATTGTGTTTATTTTTCTAATACACACAAACAAGACAGACTGTTGCTGTATTAAATATGAGAAAACATTAACATTAGCCCCGTCAGTATATTGCAATCCATAAACTTTGCAAACTGAAAACATTCAACGTGGCCTCAGTTTGTTCTGATGCATTTTATCAAACCAAACTAATGTTGTTGTGGTGGGAGGCTGCTGTGTGTGTTTCGGTGAAAAAAAACAGAGTTACGCTTCAGGTTCTGCTCTGGATCTCTGACACTGAATGCACAGACTGACACAACGCAACACAACACAATAATACGTGCTTGTATGTTGTGGGTTTTGTTGGTAAGACAATTATATGTTTTGTGTGTCATTATTAAACGGGCAATGTCTGTGTAAAGTTGTGACTATCAGCAGTTGATCTGAACGTGTTTCCTAAATAACCAGGTGTTAAACACCTGACAGAATGGAAAAGATCTATAGGAATGAAAATGATCCTAATGGAGCTGATTGATGACACAATGAGTGTAACGCTGAACTCGTATTGTTACTTCTGGACTACGCGATACTGGAGCAGCCATATTTAGTAGCTGAGCTCCAATCAACTGATTCATAACTTTACAACCGGACATCGACCGCTCCACAGTAGATATAGACTGATCCAGAGGCCCGCCAATCGATGTATTTATATTGTTACAGTTAAAATCGATTTCCGGTTTCTATTGGTGAATCTTTACACCCCTAATGATCATTAAATACTTAAACTCCTTCAGTTGACTTTGACTGTCTTCCCACCCACTTCTCACTTACTTGCAAACTGCCCCAGTTCGCATTGAAGACTGAGGGCTTTGTAGACTAGCTATTGGGATATAGTTTGAGCATAAATTCATGTGTGCACACGAAGAGGAGCAAACTACAGTAAAAAAAACAAAACAAAACTACCATTTCCTGTTCGTGGTTGGTGCCACTGTGACTGTAAACAAATGTTGGCAAGTTGATGTCTTCAGGCCAGAACTCTCGACAATTAATGACCATTGATAATTTAACTGATTGAATGTATGTCAGCTGATATAATGATAAGAAGATGATGGACATTGCCAAAAAAAATGTACTGGTGCTGTAGTGCTGGGTTGCTCTTACTGTTTAACACTGTAGCAACCTCGAGGTGTCACTCAGACTAGCAGAGAACTGTATGAGTTTAGCTAGCAAAGTACCACCACAAGAACATCTCCTGTGACACTTCATGCTGACCTTCAAAATTTATAGCTATAATTTGCTTTCATGCCCTGATGCTGGAAATATTTGTTATTCAAATAACCAGACTTAACCTGTACCAAATAGCCAAAAGCACCACAGTGAGAGCAACACAGAGTTAGTTGTGAAAACATCCTCTAAATATAAGAAATAGGAATTAATGTAAGGTGGAGCTGTGTAAGATGTATTGTATCGACTCAAGGATAAAACTGTAGCGCTAACTAAGTGCTAAAACTAGAAGGAAGGAATGGATGAATTTATGTTTCTCAAGATGTGTAAAGTTCTGCTTAACATTCAGTTTTGCTATTGTACTTTCTACTGAAAATGGGACTCAATAACTGAACATGGCTGGGGTATGTTTTTCTCTTACTGTGTCCCAGGTCATGAGACTAAAGCTATGATGAACAACAGCGGGCCGAGATATAAGCGTAGCAAGCTGGAGAAACGTCTGAACACAGATGTCCTGTGGTGTGTGTTCCTCCTCCTCATCATGTGTCTGAGTGCTGCTATAGGTGTGTACCGATGCTTACATGACACCACTTCTCATTTCAAAACACAACACTGAACAGCAGCAGTTTCTTTCAAGTGTGTACAATGTAAAACAACACACAAAGCACTAGAGAGACAGTATTTCCGTGGAAACCAGTGTGTCCAGCCACCCCAGTAAATCATTTGAATTTCCCTTCTGGGATAAATAAAGTATTTTTCATTTCATTTCATTTCATTTTATCCTGAGGCTAAGGAGTTCAGGCATGCCCATCTGTACCTGCTCAATTCAATAAGCCACTCTTTTTTTTTTTTGCATGTGTTTCAGGTCATGGCCTCTGGCTGAAGAACCACAGTGACCCTGTCTTTCAGGTTGATGGGGAGATGTCTCCTGCTTTGGCTGGATTTTATGTATTCTGGACTATGATCATTGTGCTGCAGGTATGTTACGTGGTTTCAGATGTAGGCCAAAAATGGCTTCTTACACAGTTGTTAACTTCTATTATTACATGCAATTATAGAGCCATCCATCCATTATCTATATACCGCTTAATCCTCACTAGGGTCGTG